TCACCTCCGGGGCAGGCGGGGATCGAACTCATGAGGAAGTGGCTTTAGCTTCTCAGTGCTGTGCTTTAACCCGCTGCGCCACCAGGGAGGGCCCATAGTCATGGTTTTTTAATGAAGTAAAATGTCACATTTAAATACCTCTGGACATATCGGTCCATGTTATTAGCTCTCTGTAATGAGGTGTTTTACTTATCTGTATCTTCCAGAAAATACATAATTTTATGAAAATATATAATTTTAAAGTTTTTAAATAGGCCTTTAATGTCTCTTAATTTGGAATATGCTGAATGTGATTTTATAATCCCATTTTTATTTGTTCACAGCAGATTTCTCAAGTTTAATTTCAGGTGATAAAAATTAAGTTTTTTTTTTTTAAGTGTGCAGGTCATTCTTAGAATAATCCAACTTGGTTGATACTCTCTATTTTCTCTTTTATTGTCTCAAATACAATTTGACCACTACCAAAAACTACTGAATCAAAATACATAATGATTCAAAAGAATTTATATAGACTATGCTCCTTAGCATCTCTTAAAATTTTGCACAGTAGTTTCCCTAGTTAAAGGACTTAACCCAATCTGTCCAGATTTCAGAGAGCAGGAAGATACCTAGTGTAAAGGAGGAGTATCAGGCTATCAGAATCTGGAGTCTACATATTGAATGTTATCATTAACTCCATGACCTTACAAACAAACATCAAAAATGTATGCATTTTTGATGGAAATGGAAACCTAGTGGGTAAAAGGGATGAAGGTGTTACAGTTAATCCAAAATCTTCTTTGCCTCAAGTTAAACAAGAGCATACTAGTTATAAAATCAGATACACTAATGATAAATTAGAGATCATATAGTTTTATCTGTCATCTTTTTCACAGTATTATATTTTAGCCCACACTAACTGGAGAAAAAATAGGTGCTATAATATTATAGTTATCTGAAATGCAGGTGGAATTTCCTTCTCTGTCCATCTGTGAATGCTTATTGTTCATGGAATTCCTACAGATATGAAGGGACAGGTCCCATTTTTCATAATTACTCTTATGCAAAACCCAGGAGAAAAATACAAAGTTCTACAAAGTGAAATAAATTCTAAAGTGAAAGAATTAGGAGGAAGTCACAAAAAGATTGTGCAAATTCATGACTCTCTGAAAGCTTATCGTGAGTCCAAGGATAAGACTGAAAAGGTCACTTAATTTAGGAGGAAAAAAACTGAGCATCAAAAAGTTTTAAAGCATTTAGAGGGTTGTTTCTTATGTTTTATCCACAGTATTAAAATAATGCCATTACAGTGCCTGTCTAAGAACAGGGGGAATTATGCAAAACTCCTAAGCCGTACCAAATTTGCTGTAATGTGCATTTTGAAAACATGTGTTTGCACTAATAAAATGACCACCCCAGAATGAAAGGAATGAGAAAACCCTTCAGGGTTTTTATTGTCTGTCTGGATTAAACTACAGTCTTTAGAGAAAAGCCTATATCACAAGATGCTTCAGAAGAACTCAGGGGCAGGCAGAAACTCCTTATAAGTATATGAAGAACCACTATAGAAAAGCAGGCTGAAGAGGAATCATCCTAATGACTATCCTATAACCCCATGGAGAAAAGCCACAGCCACACAGCTCAAGGACATGGGTGTCACACATATCATACACAGATAGAGGCAGGGACAGGATGGGAATACACAAATAAACATGCATTTACATATCTAGTATACCTAATATACCTAATATACTTAATATTAGATATCTGACATATCTAATATACGTCTTGACATCCTAAACACACATTAAATTTCTCTTTTCTAAAAATATAAATCCAGTCCTGTGAGTATGCTATCACACACTAAGCTTTAGAGGATGGAAATTCCTGTTGAGGATTATCATT